AGAATTATTTAATAAATAGAATTTAATAGATAGATAGAATTCTTTAATATAGAATTATAATATATTTATAATATAATATATATTATAATATATATAATTATTAATTATAATTAATTATTAATTAATATATATATATATTATAATTATAATATAGAATTTAATAATAGAATTGCAGTTGCAAATAGTAATTGCAGCATAAACTCACAATTTCCATTACAAAAACATCAGAAACAAAACATCTTAAAATAACATNAGAATTATTTAATAAATAGAATTTAATAGATAGATAGAATTCTTTAATATAGAATTATAATATATTTATAATATAATATATATTATAATATATATAATTATTAATTATAATTAATTATTAATTAATATATATATATATTATAATTATAATATAGAATTTAATAATAGAATTGCAGTTGCAAATAGTAATTGCAGCATAAACTCACAATTTCCATTACAAAAACATCAGAAACAAAACATCTTAAAATAACATTACCCCTTTCAGTTAAATTTTACTTGCACACAGAGCTGTAAAATTGTTTACAAATCTCAGTTCCTTACCCACTGTTTAAAACACGCGAATACAATTAACAGCATACTCCTGTAAATTCCAAACAATAAAACAACCCTCGACAGGGACCAACCGCTTCCACTCGCTCACATTTAACCGCCATCTTCTCTCCGCGATGACGTCACAGCCGTTCGAACAAAGTCTCGTTTAATACACCTCTCCCGACTCCGGGAACAATCGTCGCGAGAAGCTGTCCAATTTCCCGCGAAGCGATCAAGGTGATTAGTACGTAAAAAAGTTCTCGGCTAATCAGCATAACAAAAAGAACGCGTCCCTCCTATACGCACGGATCACGAAAACCACGCATGCACTACGTCAGACTGAGAAAACATCCGGTGGCAACGGTTGTTGTCGTCGTCGTCGTCGTCGTCGTCGTCGTGCCGTGGTGCACGGCAATAGAATCGACTCGGTCCCGCAGAGCCGCGCGTCGCGCGGTTTACGTTACGTTTACGAAAATCGAGATTGTTATTCCTGGATGAGATTTTCTGCATCGCCGGGCCGCGCCGGGATTTGATTTAGCATGTACGCGGGCGAGACGCGCGACGGTGAGTATAGTACGCGAGCGTATTACTCCAGTTTCTAAGGAATCGGAGCGCGAGAGGGACCGGCGAAAGACGCGTGACGCCTGGCCTCGGGTATCGGCCGCGAGGAGCGCACCAATCGCGTACGCTAGCCCCAAGACTTTCTCGGCGCTCAGTCTGCCGGAGTCTGCAGCGCGCGAAACTTGCACGCGCGTCGCGTCGCTCGAGTTAGTGTCCTTACCGGGCCCCCGTGTATCAATCCGATTAAATCCCCCGGATCGCTGGTGCGTCCACCAGAAGTGGCATATATCTCTCTCTTTATCTCTCGCAACCGGAATACGTTCGCGACCGTACCGCGTAGTCGACGGCCGGGTTTCTCGCCAGGGCGAATCGGAACGAACGAGAGTAAATCGAGTCGTAAAGTGTTGCGCCGATAAACGACGCGTCGCCACGTGATTTTTTTCCTCTGTCAGGTAACGCGGCCCCGTCGCCCCAGTGTGTGTTCGACGATCTACGAAGTGCTGCTCCGTTCGAGCCTGTTACCCATTCGTAATCCCTCCGTATTGCGATCGACGATGGTATCATTGAAGCACGATGTTCGCGCGTTACAGTGAAACGTGAACGGCTCCGGAGAATTCGAACGGGAGTGGCAGAGTTTTTACCTTAAAAAAAAGAAAAGAAAAGAAAAGAAAAGTAAAAAAGAGTTTCGTCGGGACCCGTGGTCCTCTGTCTGTGTGTGCTCGCTCTGCCGCCGCAGCGTCTCTCCATCTCTCTACCGACGGCGAAGGAGGAGCGAGAGAGGGGCGAAGAGTCGAGGCGGTTCTCGCTTCTTTCTCCCTGCCAGCGGCTTGCCGGCCCCACGATTGACGGATACGTACGCACGCCGCCGGTTTCCTGCTCGAAATACCACGGAGCTGCTTCGCTAGGTGGTAAGCGGACCCCTTCGTCTCGTTTTCCCCCGTTGCCTTCGGTTTGATTTTTTTCGCGCGCGCGCCACGGTCGTTCCTCCGACGAGTCATCGCCGATGACCTTCTTCGGATGCTCGCGAATCACCGTGTTAGCCGAGAGAGCCCCCTTACCTTAGCCCCCCTCTCCGTGGCACACGAGGCCGGCCCAGGACACCAGCCGAACGCGGCGCTCTTTCTTCGAGTAACCTGGACTCGCTCGGAATGGAATCTTGCCTGGGGAACGGACCTCTCTGTACGAAGAACTTGAACGTTGATCTCTCCCGGGATCTCGCCGGCCTGAACTTTGGCGAGCGGCGACAAGAAAAGGCTCCCGCCATCCTTTTCTGTTCTTCCGTTCCCTCCTGCCCCTGTCTGCCAGCCCCCGTTCCGGCCACAGCCTGCTCTTCTCTGGCCTTCCCCCCGCTGTAGTTCGCCGTAGACCACGATTCTCTCTGTGCCCTAACATCATCGACTCGTTTCTGCAGCAATTTTCTGCATCGCGGAATTATGGATTTTATTGGGAGCCTACGATTCCGGGAAACATTATCGGTGTCCGCGATCGGAACTGTTCGCTCGAGGAGCTCTTCGGCGCGGTGGTTTTAATACTTTGTGCTCGAGTGGTGATTCTGTGGCACCATTGAAATTGTTACAATACGTTGCAAGATCATTTTTATACCATCGAAGCTTAGATATAAAACGTTGTTGAAACGAGGCTCAATTTCATATGTGTGAAAATGTACTTTGTGACGTAAAATGGAAATACTATAAAACAGAAAAGCTAATTCAGATTTACAGTTGAAATAGCTTCGAGTGCAAAGTGTTAACCGCTTCCACGACCGCGCTAAAAACCTCGAAAATTTTCATTAAATTAATATTTATTTTTTTATTATTATGTAGTGGTTACTTTGAGGCATCATTGAAATTGTTACATCACGTTCCAAGATAATTTTTATATCATCAAAGCTTAGATATGAAAAGTTGTTGAAAGTCTAACTGCTGTATGGGAGTCACGAGGCTCAATTTCATATGTGTGAAAATGCACTTTGTGACGTACAATGGACATACTGTATAAGACAGAAAAGCTGATTTAGATTTAGAGTTGAAATAGCTTCGAATGCAGGAGGTTAACACTTCCACGACCGCGCTAGAAACCTAAATCAATATTTAGTCTTTTATTATTATTTTAATGATTTTAACACTTTGCACTGGAGTGGCGACTTTGAGGCACCATTGAAATTGTTACACATCAAGATAATTTTTATACCATCAAAGCTTAGATATAAAAAGTTGTTGAAAGTCTAACTGCTGTATGGGAGTCACGAGGCTCAATTTCATATGTGTGAAAATGCACTTTGTGACATAAAATGGAAATGCCATAAGACAAGAAAGCTAATTTAGATTTACAGTTGAAATAGCTTCGAGTGCAAAGGGTTAACAATTAACACGACCGCGCTGGAAACCTCGAAAATTTTCATGAAATTAATATATGTCATTCGATTAAACGAAAATTATGAAGCATGTTGGCATTTAAGCATTTAAAGCATTTATGGCATTGATTACTTCTTCAGCATGAGTATCTCTTGCGAATCTTAATAAAATTAAGCGATCGTTTTTCTTTTTTTATTAATCATCCGTTCGGTAGTCAATCGACTGAATTTAAAGAGATCTAAGGCTAAGATCTTGGCTAAGTGTTAATATTAGGTCTACCGGAAAGTTTTGTCAGTTCGAAAAATGAAAGGAAATAATAGATTTTTCATAAATTTAGTAATATTTATTGTACAATATAATTTCCGTCGTTACCTATGACCTCTTGCCAGCGTGATGGCAATTTGTGAGCAACATTTCTTCAAAAATATATGTCTCAAATGAATATGTGCATATCTATTGAAATCTGCAATGACATTATCAGAAAGAACTTTCCGGCAGCTTCGCCTAATATTAGGTGAAGATAGCCGAATTTGAAACAGAACGTTGGATCGATGAATTTACGGTTCATGGTTGTTCGGTGGCGCCGCTAATAATATCGCGAATGCTCTTCTTTAATCAGAAACCTAATCTTAGGATATTTGTTCCGCTGATAATGTTGCAAGTATTTTTCTTTCTTACGGTATATGTGTCAAAGTGCGTGTTGGATTATTCTTGCGTGAATCGTGTTGTACTGTGTGCTGTCAGAAATGATTAGGCTCTGAGATATCGGCAAAAGGAGCCGTACTCGAGGAAGATTCGTGAAACAGGTCGTGTTTGTAAATACTTTTTAGTTGGCTGCGAGACGACATTGTCGAGCAATTTGCGGGAATGTTGCCAATGGAAATTTTGGAATTTAAAGATATTTTAAGATATTTAAATGTTTCAAGATATTAAAATATATATATATTATTCTATCGAAATAGAGTACACGAAATTGGACGTTATACTCTAAAAAACAGGATTCACTTCTATTCACGTTTACCTATTAGTATTATATATATATATATATGATATCATATATATACTATCATATACTATGTATATATATAGTATTATCTATACTATATAGTACTACTATAGTACTATCTATACTATATAGTACTACTATAATACTATCTATACTATATAGTACTACTATAGTACTATATAATACTATCTATACTATATAGTACTACTATAGTACTATATAATACTATCTATACTATATAGTACTACTATAGTATATAGTATAGTATATAGTACTACTATAGTATATAGTATAGTATATAGTACTACTATAGTATATAGTATAGTATATAGTACTACTATAGTATATAGTATAGTATATAGTACTACTATAGTATATAGTATAGTATATAGTACTACTATAGTACTATATAGTACTATATAGTACTATATATATATATGATACTAATAGGTAAACGTGAATAGAAGTGAATTCTGTTTTTTAGAGTATAACGTCCAATTTCGTGTACTCTATTTCGATAGAATAATCCTGAATGAAAATGAGCTCCAAAATTGTTCGTTCCTTGGAATGGGTGCCATTAATGGGTGTACATTTAGTTTGTAATTGAACGTCAACCAACGCTCGATACAATTTATAGAATATAAATGACAAGAATTGAAAAAGTGTGCTTTAGAGTCGCATTCGGTGCTCATTTAATAACTCCTTATAATTACATTTTTAATCGCTTCTGTTTGCGTTAATTTTTCGCCGATCTTTCGATTGATCAGGAAATGCTTCTGACATTCCGGGTCAAACTGGGAGCCGTGGCGCAACGGTTACTGATCTTTGTCTTTAAGTTTGAACCCCGTCAGCATCCTGAATCGACTAAACAAGTTTCCGCTTCGTTCCAACGTTTCTCGATAACTCGGCAAAAATTAACATTTGCATAAACGTCCACGGTCCATTAATCACCTTGGCTAAATGGACAGATTATGAGTCGACGGGAGAATTAATCTGTCTGCGACACACATGGCAGTGCTCGCACTCGTCTTATTTCAGTCTGGATATAATAGACTAGGATCTTCATTAAATTCTATAACTTTTGTTGGCTATACAAAGAGAATTTCACAGTTCGATGGAAATACTTTCGTTCCCTCGCTGGCGTTTGTCATTTAATTGTAAACGCGACACCGATGCCATCGACAGTTTCCTGGATTATTCTGAACAGTGTAATCTAATAATTGGCTTTGGAATTATCATTTAAAGACAATTGTGGTAGCTTCTTTTCAACGCAACAATTATATCTGCTCGTACGAATTTTCTTTCATTTCTGAAAGTGAAATGTGAGAAGTAGATTGCTGATTTTATGCACCGATGACAAAAGTTAGTAGGTCAAATATAAAACTGACTGAAGCCGATAGGAGAATCTAAGTGTAGTGTCGCATTATTTTCATCTCAGTACAATTATTAAAAGAGGGAAAAGACATTTTCATGAATGATGGTACAGTTAAAGTCTCCCTAATCGACGCTCAGATTGTGCACAATATTAAACAATATGGGAATAAAATATACGAAAAAATATACGATTATTCGAGCCTTGCAGTTAGTTTTTATAATTATTGATTGTTAACAATTATAAAAACGAGCCGCGAGACTCGAACAATCGTATCTCCTCTTCTCAAATTATCGATTTTTGAGCACAATTTTTAGGTGACAATTAGAGAGACATTACTGCATCACGTATTACTGAACTGAGGATGCAAAATAAAAATTGTCCAAAGTCAATTGTAAGAAATAAAAGTTGAACGAAAATGTTTCTTCTCTTTTAACCCTTTGCAGTCGGAGCAATTTTAACTCGAAATCCAAAATAATTTCTCGCACCTATAGTATTTCCATTTTATATAACCTAATGCGATTTATACATATGAAATTGGGCTTTGCGACAAAGGCAACTGTTACACTATTAACAGTCTTTTAAATATAAACAAATTTGATGGTGTTAAAATTATTTTCAAACGTGATACAACAATTTTTAAGAGCGCCTTAGAGTCGCCAGCCGAGTGCAAAGGGTTAAAACCCTTCCCCCCCGAATGGCGACTCCAAGGCGCCATTAATAATTGTTACGTCACGTTTCAGAATAATGTTATTAATCGAATTTGTTCATACATGGAAGAACTGTTGAAAGGATAACCGTTGCATCTGTCACAAAATTCAATTTCATACGTATAAAATGCATTTATGTTGTATAAAATGGAAATGCAGTGGATCGGAAAGACTACATAAAATTTTCCATTGATCCGACCTCGAGTGCAAAGGGTTAATAATTCTAATAAGTTGAAATGAACGAAACAATATCGTCAGGTTGCCCCGAGCCGGGAAGGCGAAACGTACAATTTTACGAAGTACACGAATTGTACGGGGAGACCGATTCAACTTCCAAAAACATGAAAGGCAATTCGCGCTAGCTGCGGAACGGCCAAATAAATCGTTGGTTAACGTGCGCGAAATCGCAATGCCCTCCATCGGTGCGTTAGTCGGCCAAGAATAGTTTCGTCTTCGTCGGTAC